GGTCACTCTCTACAAAAGCCTTGTCCTTCTCCCGAGGATCAGCTGGTGGTTTCAAACCGCTGACCCCGGGGGTTAGCAGCCCAATGTGTAACCGCTGCACCAGCAGGGCTCCCGGCTTTTGATCAGAGCAGGAGGCAAATGCCTGCATCTTCCCAGGGACCTCAATCCTATAAGCACATGCCCCGGGGCGCAGAGAAGCAGCAAGGTTTGCAGGGGTCTGACTTGTGAGGAGTGGCATGAGGTGTTGTGGAATGCATGCCACTGCCTGCGCTGTCTCAGCACCCCTGGGGTGGGAGGTATGCCTCCGATCCTCTGACAAGTCAGAACCCCTCGACATGCAGGTGAACTTGATTGGATGGAAAGATTTACGATGGCAGGCCTCATTTCTGGAAAATAAGCAACCCAGCAAAGGCCACAGAGCCACCGCCCTCGGCCCAACAGAGGCCAGACAGGGAGGCCCCCCACTGCACACTCACTGCCCTCGGGGCACCTGGAGCTGCTTCAGCCTCCCTGCCACAGTTGCCATCCATGTCCCGGTGGCCAGGTTCTGGTGGCCACTTGCTCGTCACTGGGGGAGGAGGAGGGGACCTGGGGAGAGGCAGGAGGGAACTGTCCCTGGCCCACGTGGTTAGTGAGGGGCGAGCAGCTGGGGGCTAGGGTTGATTCCCTAGGCTCTATTTTACAGGCTTTTCTGTACATGAAACCAGGAGCGGTAACTGGATTGAGACTCACCTGGGGGTACGGCAGGCGAGGGTGGGGGGAATGGGGCGCCGACAACAAGAAAGAAGAAAATCGTCTGAAATCAAGTACAGTGCCAGAGGTGCAGCCCGTCGTCACACAGTCAGACTACGGAGCCGCGTGATATGTGGACTATACGACGGCAATAAGAGCCAGAAAGAGGCCCAAGCAGACCACCGAAGGTCACAACTCCGGCTGCCCAGGAGAGGTGGTCCTCAGGCGTCCAAGCTGCACCATGGAAGTAAGACTTGGCAGGCTACTTCCAAGAGTGACCAGAGACTCGATCACAGGGCTCCAGCCAGTAGCTGGCAGTGGGGATGTCGCAGGGCTGGGCCCGTCTGCTTTGTGAGGGCCTCAGCGAGTCCCATGGTGGACAGCACTTTGGTCCATTGCACAAGTCTCAGGACTGGACAGGCTTCACACAGTTCTGCGTGGACTAGAACCAGTCCCAGGGCTGGACAGTGATCGTTCTCTTGTGTAAATCCCGGGACTGGGCAGTGTTTCCCACAGTGGTGTGTGGATCCGAATGAGTCTCAGGGGTAAACAGTGGTCATTCAGTTGTACACATCTCTGAGCTGGACTCTGTTTACCGTAGTTGTGTGTGCCTGGGTGAGTCTTGGGGTTGAGCCAGCTCCTATATGCTTGGTTGTACCACTAGAAGGCAGCTAACCATCGCGGCAGCCAGGCCAGAGGCCTCCTCCTGTCCCGCCCTCTCCACGTCCAGTTCAGACGGAGGGGGTGATGTGAGACCTCACTATCAGGGGTGGGGTGGTTTCCCAGAACCTCCAGGGCTTCACAATTGCTTTGGAAGAGAAGACAAATACCAGCCCCTCCACTTCAGCCCAACAAGAAACCATGCCGC